AGTGACTTGTGGAGATATAGATTGTAGTAGGTATGGAAGGGGGACATATTTTGCCCCCTAGGTGTCGTAAAATTCCTACTTGTCTCTGTAATCTTGATAAAGAATAATTATCTTTGTTACCATTTATTGGTATGTATCTAATGAGATTCATCCAGGTAAATTTAATTTTCCACAACTAGAACACATTTTACACAACCAACTTTTTGATAACTGCATTTAATTATAGTGATAGGCTAGATGGGAAGAGGAAAATTAAATTAATGTTATAAAATATGGTATTGAAAACTTCCATAAAATCACTGATAGTATGAGAACTCATTATTGTTACATTATTTAAAAAAAAATCTTGCTTATAATAACTGTAATCTCATTGCATAAAGTTCTGTCAAATAGCAACATACTTAAATTTTAATATGATTGTTTAGTTCATCCTCCTAATAGAATTTTGGCGAATACCAGTTGGTTAATGTCCCAGAATGATTCCTAGTTGCATCAGTTTTCATACTAATTACTGAATCTAGGTTACAATTAAGGATTTTATAAGATTTAAGAAATCGTCGTTGTTTAGTTTATCATAGAAAAATACCTGACACGGGTCTTTCTTTAGTAGAGCGGCTCAGTGGTGCATGCCTAGCAATGGTGTTGCAAGACTGCTTCTTGGCATAGCCGTGCTGAGCTCTGGATCATAATTATCTTTTCGCACGTGTTGATCAGAATGAGGTGCGGAGCCTGGACGTGAAGGAGGTGAGCGGGGTGACGCTGAAGTACCGTGAGAAACTGGACTACCTGATGGCTGCCACTGCACACTCTGACGTCCTCCTCCATCTCCAGTCACTAATCACACACCTCCAAGAGAAGGTCAGTTATCACACTTTGATAATGACGCCATTAAATGCCCTGTTTGCTTATGGAAGAAATCTTTAAGACAACAACTCACCTGTACACTAATTTTAAGAATAATTGTAAACTCATTTGTATATACACTGAAACAAATGCACCTCTCGCTGTATATACACATAAGGTACACCTCACTGTGTATGTACACACACATAAGATAACATTTGTTTGGATTTTTAACCCAGAGGGTTAGCCACCCAGGATAACGCAAGAAAATCAGTACGTCATCGAGGACTTACTTTGTTTTAAATATCGATGTTATATACTAGTGTTCTTCAAAGTACGCCCCTCAAGGGAGGTTCCTTGACGCTGCTGAGGGGCTCTTGATCTAGGGACTTGGATCTGTGCTCAGGTTCCCTGAATTGAGCCTGAATACTTTCCATCCCCCCCACATGAGGTGTTTAATCCTACGGTTTTAGCGCTCCCACATGATTATAGTCTTCAAAGTACGGGTTGTGACCCGGTATTGATGCTTTTGAGTGGGTCGCAGGCCAACTACACTGAGCAGGTAAATCTCATATCGATCTGTCAGTTAATGCAGTATGACTAAGCTAATGAGTCAAAAGCTTGAAATGATCTTACCTATGTCTGACTTTCTTTTCAAAACGCGGGAGTAGGGTAGGGTATGTGGCAAAAAAAAGTTTGAAGAAACACTGCTGGTGTAAACAGCATTCCAATCCGTAATTTTGTTATATTAAGCCGTTATCAACAGATTATTCAACATCAAATAATGTAAACCTATAGAAAGCATTTTGTTGAATCATAATATCAAGTAATGGTAATGTTAAAGTTGTCAGTCTCCTTACCATTACAGTTTAATCTATTTTAAATATCAAGGTTATCTTATTAGGTTTAAGGTTTTGACTACATGGGAACCATTAAGGTCGCTGGGAAACAACGACCACCTAAGGAGTATCTAGTTGAAGACAACTCTGGTTAAAATTAAGTGCGACAACCTTTATTCATTAACAATGATACTTTAATTAGCAAATAAGGGTTGAAGTAAATCCTGTGTGTATATATTGAGAAATATCACCGCTGAAATAGCAAATAATCTTAGTGTTTTTCAGTAGTATTTAATTCACGTAGCTGCCAGTGCTGGAGGCGCTCACAGATTCTGCACTTCGTCCAAGACACTGGCAAGAGATAGATGCAGCCCTTAGTGAGCCGTTGCCTTCCTCCCTCACTCTGGCTCACGTAGACGAGATGGGTCTTCACAAGCATGCACACACACTGCAACAAGTGGCTCATACTGCGCAGCTCCAGCGAGATATGGAGGACCGACTTAAGAAAGTGAGTATGATAATATAGTTTTCCTTTTATAGACTGCGTTTTCTCTAACAGATATGTATCTAAAGAAAATACAAACACTTAACGAGTAGAAAGCTAAATTTTACTCCAAAACTAGCATGAATGTGCAGCCGACAGGCCTGAAGAAACTGCTTGATGCTATCATATCAACATAGACCAGGATCTCTAAGGAATATTTTCAGCACCTTCTTTAATCCATGCCATGAAGAATTCAAGCTGTTCCGGGGGCAAAGGCGGGTCCTACCCAGTACTATAAGGGTGTACTAATAAAGTGATTTGTGTGTACTCACCTATTTGTGGTTGTAGGGGTCGATTCATAGCTCCTGGCCCCACCTCTTCACTGATTGCTACTAGGTCCTCTCTCTCCCTACTCCATGAGCTTTATCAACCCTCGTCTTAAAACTATGTATGGTTCCCGCCTCCATTACGTCACTTTCTACGCTGTTCCACTGCCTGACAACTCTATGACTGAAGAAATACTTCCTAACATCCCTTTGATTCATTTGAGTCTTCAACTTCCAATTGTGACCTTGTGTTTCTGTGTCCAATCTCTGGAACATCCTGTCTTTGTCCACCTTATCTATTCCGCGCATTATTTTATATGTCGTTATCATGTCTCCCTTGGCCTTCCTCTCCTCCAGTGTAGTCAGGCCGATTTCCCTTAACCTTTCTTCGTAGGACAATCCCCTTAGCTCTGGGACTAGCCTTGTTGCAAACCTTTGCACTTTCTCTAATTTCTTGACGTGCTTGACCAGGTGTGGATTCCAAATTGGTGCTGCATACTCCAGTATGGGCCTGACGTAAATGGTGTACAGAGTCTTGAACGATTCCTTACTGAGGTATCGGAACGCTATCCTTAGGTTTGCCAGACGCCCGTACGCTGCAGCAGTTATCTGATTGATGTGTGCCTCAGGAGATGTGCTCGGTGTTATACTCACCCCAAGATCTTTTTCCTTGAGTGAGGTTTGCAGTCTTTGAACACCTAGACTATACTGTGTCTGCGGTCTTCTTTGCCTTTCCCCAATCTTCATGACATTGCATTTGGCAGGGTTAAATTCAAGGAGCCAGTTGCTGGACCAGGCTTGTAGCCTGTCCAGGTCTCTTTGTAGTCCTGCCTGATCCTCGACCGATTTGATTCTCCTCATTAACTTCACATCATCTGCAAACAAGGACACTTCTGAGTCTATCCCTTCCGTTATGTCATTCACATATACCAAAACCAGCACAGGTACTAGGACTGACCCCTATGGAACCCTGCTTGTTAAAGGCGCCCACTCTGACACCTCGTCGCGTACCATGACTCGTTGTTGCCTCCCTGCCAGGTATTCTCTGATTCATTGCAGTGCCTTTCCTGTTATGTGTGCCTGATACTCTAGCTTTTGCAGTAACCTCTTGTGAGGAACTGTGTCAAAGGCCTTTTTGCAGTCCAAGAAAGTGCAGTCTATCCACCCCTCTCTCTCTCTTGTCTTACTTCTGTCACCTTGTCATAAAACTCCAGTAGGTTTGTGACACAGGATTTTCCTTCCCTGAAACCATGCTGGTTGTCGATTATACACTTGTTTCTTTCCAGGTGCTCCACCACTCTCCTCCTGATGATCTTCTCCATGACTTTACATTCTATACACGTTAGTGACACAGGTCTGTAGTTTAATGCCTCATGGCTGTCTCCTTTTTAAAAAATTGGGACTACATTTGCCATCTTCCATACCTCAGGGAGTTGCCCAGTTTTAATGGATGTGTTGAAGATCTTTGTTAGTGGCACACACAGTATCTCTGCTCCTCTCTAAGGACCCACGGAGAGATGTCTGGTCCCACCGCCTTTGAGGTGTCAAGTTCACATAGCAGCTTCTTCACCTCCTCCTTAGTTGTGTGTACCTCATCCAACACTTGTTGGTTTACCTCCCTGTTCTGATTTCCTGGAGTCCTACCGGTTTCCACTGTAAATACTTCTTTAAATCTCGTGTTGAGCTCCTCACATACCTCTCGGTCATTTCTTGTGAACACCCCATTATCCTTCCTCAGTCTGATTACCTGGTCCTTGACTGTTGTTTTCCTCCTGATGTGGCTATACAACAGCTTTGGGTCAGACTTGACTTTCGATGCTATGTCATTTTCATATTGTCGTTGAGCCTCCCTTCTTATCGGTGCATATTCGTTTCTGGCTCTCTGGCTAATCTCTTTATTTTCCTGAGTCCTTTGTCTTCTGTACCTTTTCCATTCTCTAGTACACTTATTTTTTGCCTTCCTACACCTTTGGGTGAACCAAGGACTCGTTCTGGTCTTCTCATTATTTTTGTTTCCCTCGGGAACAAACCTCTCCTCTGCCTCCTTGCATTTTGTTGTCACATAGTCCATCATTCCTTGTACTGGATTTCCTGTCAGTTCTCTCTCCCACTGAACGTCTTGCAGGAAGTTCCTCATGCCTGAGTAGTCCCCCCTTTTGTAGTTGCTCTGCTGAAGTTTCAAAAATATCGGCCAAAAAGGAAATGAAATATGCAAAATTTACGAAAAATTACATTTGGCAGGGGACCTGTACTTAGTGGTACTTGGAAAAGTGGTTTTGACTCTTTCTGCTGATAGAACACTTCTAATTCCATCATTTTAAAGAGTAAAATTATATAATAACTCTTATCTTCATGCTAAGAAAAAATAAAGTTTCATAACTTTTTTGACATTTTGGAAGATGTCGGTCTTGTTCCCCACACAAATCTGAAAATATTTGGGATAGTTCAGAAAGGTACCATAAAACTTGTAAAGCAATCATTCTTCTATGTTTGTTGTGAAAATCAAGTCAATTCATTCATAAATAAGGATGCAATCACCCTAAATAGGTAAATAAGTTACTTTCGAGATATAGGCCCAAGCGCGCGGCACCCCCGCTGCCCGGGAAATAATTTTTTTCCCCGAAAAATTCGCTTTATTTTACACTTTTTCGCGGCCTACGAGTGTTTATTACGGTTAACCATTGTAAATACGTTTTCTCTCATCACTGATGAGAGAGGGCGGACCCTCTCTTCACCTTCAGGGGAAATATCGATAGAAATTTATTCCTTGGGGCGTCATATTATGCTATATATTTTTTTTTGAGGTGTAATTTTTATGTTTATATGCTATTATTATATTGCATTATATCATAATAGATCAATTGTGATAGATAAATAAGCCTTATAATTGATATTAGCGTGGGTATGGAATATTTTGTTGGCTGGAGGTGTCGGCCATTTTATGCACTATTCCCAGGGGTTCCCGATTGGGTCCTTGACCATATTATCTCCGCCCACACTGGCATGATCTCAGATGGTGAATTTGTATTATATTAGACATAAAAGATGTACGAAAACGATAAAAATAACACGGGGAAAAGCGTCACAAAAACGTCAACAAAGTTGAGTCAGCGCTTCTTACGCAACATGTTGCATCAGCGCTGTCACCATGCCTGTTATAAATGGCTGTAATTCCTTTTAGAAACATCGTACAAGGATAATAATTATACCAGCGTGTAGCCAGAAAGTTCAGCTATTTTTTGGTAACAATAACTCCATTTTCATATATTTTCGATTTTTTTTTTGCTCCGCGCGCGGGACCTGTTAGCGCCCCCTTAACATGTTGATGCATGAGGTTTTCCAGTACCACATCCATCATCTTGGCTCTCCATGTTTTGGGACTCCCATGGGGCTCCAGGTTTTCCCAGTCACTCTCCTTGTGATTGAAATCACCCATAACTAGTAACTTTGCTCCCCCCCATGTGAGCTCTTATGGCCACCTCGGCTAGTGTGTCAACCATTGCTCTGTTGCTCTTGTCGTATTCTTCTCTTGGCCTCCTGCTGTTCTGTGGCGGGTTGTACATTACTGCAATTACCACCTTATGGTCCTCAGACTAGATTGTTCCCACTAAGTAGTCACCTTCGCCCATGCCATCCATTCCTTCCATTTTCTCAATCCCCACTTGATTAATAATGAGCAGTGCAACTAATCCTTCCCCTCTCCTCCCTCTGTCTTTTCTGAGGATTTGTTATCCAGATGGAAAGATTGCATCTGTTATCATCCTGGTGAGTTTTGTTTCTGTGAGTGCTATTATGTCTGGGGATGTCTCCTTGATTCTTTCATGCCACTCCTCACACTTATTTGTTATTCCATCTGCATTTGTATATCACACCTTCAACTTCTTTTCTAAAACTGTGGTCTGGGGGGTACATTGGGGTTGGGGAAGTGGGAGACCTGGTAAGGAACTATGGGTGGTTGCTGTGGGGGTGTTTGTAATGAGGTTGGTGGGGACATTCGATATGGCATGTGTGTTTTGGGTTAGAATGTTTGGTTGCACTGGAGTTGTCCTGGTTGGGGGGCTTCTGTAGGTAGTTGTGAGGGAGGCTGTATTTGATCTTCCTCCTGAGTCTGGATTCTTCTGTCCATCCATCTTCTCCTCTCTTTCCTTCTTTGGCCTTTGTACCATCTCTCTCAGTTTCTGTCTTTCTTCTTGTGTTCTGTTGCGGTCGAGATACACCTTCCGGTATGCCGGCATGTCCCTTAGTCTTGCTTTCTCCTGCAGGATCCTGTTCCGAGTTGATTCTGCCTTGAAAGTCACTTTCACTGGCCGGGTTCTTCTTGCAAACCCCCCTATTCTCCAAAAATTTGCCAGCTGGGTCATGTCATCTTCTATTGCTTTTATGATGCTTTCGATTGCATTATTTTCCCCTTGTTTTCTTGCTTCATAAGTTTCCCCTTCAACTTCCTGGAGCCCATAAACAAAGACTGACCTCTCCCCTTTGTTCTCCCACTGCATATCCCTATGTGTGTGTATTCACCTAGTTGTGGTTGCAGGGGTTGATTCAGAGCTCCTGGCCTTGCCTCTTCACTCCCTGCAACGACTAAGAATTTTGCGGAAAGCTTGTGACGTTTTACCTTGGTCCTGGAAGTCGGTGATGGCTTCTTTGTTTTGGACAGACTGTTGTTACTGGAGTCACTATTTTTACTCAACCGATTGTTAGTAGAACTGAGGTTGGAAGCTTTGAGGGCCGGCTGTCTGACAGCTGTGGTGAAAGTGACCTCCGGCTGTGCCTGCAGCATCGCTGTGGACAATGCCGGAAGGACGGGCATAGGATCGTCTGCAAAGCGACAGACCTTGCGTTTCTGAGCACACAGTCCTGGGTGCATACAGTGCCATCGACATCGACGCAATCAAGCCGCCTGCCGAGAAAGGCAAGGTTTGTCGCTTTGCGGACAATCCTGTGCCCGTCCTTCCGGCATCGTCCACAGCGATGCCACAGGCGCAGCCGGAGGTCACTTTCACCGCAGCTGTCAGACAGCCAGCCCTCAAAGCTTCCAACCCCAGTTCTACTAACAATCGGCCGAGTAAAAATAGTGACTCCAGTAACAACAGTCGGTCCAAAACCAAGAAGCCATCACCGACTTCCAGGACCTAGGTAAAACGTCACAAGCTGTCAGCAAAATTCTTAGTCGTTGATGATATTGTTTTCCCTGTCGACCTACATATAGGGTTTAAAACCATGGCAGACCTTAGGATCCGCTTAGATCCAGCTGAGTGGAAAGCAGATTTTAATGGAGTGGATGTGCCCTTCTGGGGCGTGCGCTTGGGATCCACTAGGTGCTACTCTGTCTCGGAGTATGCACAGTGTCTGGAATAGTTGGAAACCGATGGTTTTCATAGCACATTCTCCCCGAGGTCGGTCTCTTGTCCTGACCAACCTTACAAGAGAGCTCGTTGCTCGTCACCTCCTGGCCATCAGCTCTTAGTTACCAGTGAAAAACAGTCTGGGGACGCCCAGTCTAACCTTCACTCTAACTCTAGCTTTGTTGTAGAGAACAGCAGTCAAGCTGCAGTTAGCCCTGTCGGCAGGCGCTGTGTCAGCCTCGTGTCATAGCTTCAGTGAGCTCCTGCACAAAGATGATGTCACTTTGACTTCTAGCTCGCTCACTGCAGTCTGGTGTATGATGTTACGACTTCCTGATGTTCGCCCAGTCGTCTCTGCCACGACTTGCTCCACGACTCACTCCACGCTCGCCGGCAGTGACAGCCCAGCGACAGTACCAGTCAAGAAATGTCCTCCTGAGTCGCTTGCCAGAAGAAGTCCTGCCCAGTTGCCGAGTACTGACGACGCCTCACTCGAGGGCACCAGCAGGTCATGCCCCAGGTTGAATGAAACCCTGCAGTGACTCCTACGATGACTGCTTCACCGTTCCAGAGGAGACTGTACCCTGCTACGTCACAGCTCAGCCGCAGCGATGTCTCCTGTGTTGCAGTATCTGTCCAGACGCAGGAAGGCGTGCAGTGATGCCCATCGACACTCACTGCCTTTGACCACGATGTTCAGCACACCCCACCTTGTTTTTTTCTTCCCTCCCTGTAGGAATTTTTTTTCCATGTCCATATGTATATATATATATATATATATATATATATATATATATATATATATATATATATATATATATGTTTTTTATTCTGTGTTCTGTGCCCTGTTCCTGCGAGAGAGAGCCCTAGTTTTTTTACCACCAGTATTGTCGCGTTGGGACGACACGAGGTAGGTGGCTGAGCAAATGTAGACAGCCTGTTCTGTCTGCACAGACAGCCTATGCTGTCTGCCAGCTGAGTTCATATTTCGCGGCACTCAGGTGCTGCCCTCTCTAGGCCTGCCCAGGTCAGTGGGACGCTGGTCCCACTCGCTCTCACTCTGGTGACACATTTCACTCAGTCAAGAAGTGTCCACTCCTCTTTCTCTCGCGGGCATGGCCTTCCCGGGCCATGGGCACAAACACATAAGCCTGTGTACCCACCACGACTTTGCAAATAAAGTAAGAAGCCTCCGAAGATCTTATTGAACCCTGCTCTGCAAGAATTACCAGTTAACTCGTAAACAAAAGCTATGCATGGATCCGGCCTCCACTACATCACTTCTCAGACTGTTTAACTTCCTGACAACTCTGTGACTGAAGTTCTTCCTAACATCTCTGTGATTCATCTGAATCTTCAACTTCCAACTGTGACCCCTTTTTGTTGTGTCCTATCTCTGGAACATCCTGTCTCGGTCCACCTTGTCGATCCCTCTAAGTATTTTATATGTCGTTATCATATCCCCCCTGTCTCTCCTGTCCTCCAGTGTCTTCAGGTTAATTTCCCTTAACCTCTCCTCGTAGGACATACCCCTTAGCTCCGGGACTAGTCTTGTTGCAAACCTTTGCAGTTTCTCTAGTTTCCTTACGTGTTTGACTAGGTGTGGGTGCTGCATACTCCAATATGGGCCTAACGTGTGTGTGTGTGTGTGTGTGTGTACTCACTTAATTGTGGTTGCAGGGGTCGATTCACAACTCCTGGCCCTGCCTCTTCACTGGTCGCCACTAGGTCACTCTCTCTGCTCCATAAGCTTTATCATACCATGGTGCCCCGTGACCTGGTAGCTAAAGCTCTCGCTTCACATGGTGAGTGTCCGGGTTCGATTCCCAACGAGGGTAGAAACACTGGGCGTGTTTCTTTACACAGGTTGTCTATGTTCACCCATCAATACCTGGGTGTTAGTCGACTGGTGTGGGTCACATCCTGGGACAAAACTGACCTAATTTGCCCGAAATGCTCTGCATTCCAAGCGGCTTTCTTTAAAGTGGTGTGTCATTGATGTCATCTAGGCCTGTATACCTTGTACATGTAACATTTTTTTTTTAAGAAATAAAGATACATTATTATGTATAGTACCTGCCTCCTCTACATCACTTTCCAGACTATTCCACTTCCTGACAATTCTGTGGCTGAAGAAATACTTCCTAACATCCCTGTGGCTCATCTGAGTCTTCAACTTACAATTGTGACCCCTTGTTGTGTCCCATCTCTGGAACATCCTGTCTCTGTTCACCTCGTCGATTCCTCTCAGTATTTTATATGTCGTTATCATGTCCCTCCCTGTCCCTCCTGCCCCAGTGTCGTCAGGTCGAGTTTTCTTAACCTTTCCTCATAGGACATGCCCCTCAGTTCCGGGACTAGTCTTGTTGCAAATCTTTGCACTTTAGTTTTCTGACGTGCTTGGCCAGGTGAAGGTTCCGAACTGGAGCTGCATATTCAAATATGGGCCTGACGTACACGGTGTACAGGGTTCGGAACGACTCCTTACTAAAATGTCGGAATGCTATTATTAGGTTCGCTAGTCGCCCGTATTCTGCAACAATTATTTGGTTGATGTTCTCCTCAGATGTGCTCGGTATTATACGCATTCCAAGATCCTTTTCCTTGAGTGACGTTTGTAGTCTTTGGCCCCCCTAGACTGTATTCTGTCCACGGTCTTCTTTGCCCTTCCCCGATCTTCATGACTTTGCACTTGGTAGGGTTGAACTCCAGGAGCCAGCTGCTGGACCAGGCCTGCAGCCTGTTCAGATCCCTCTGTAGTCCTGTCTTATCATCCTCCGACTGAATTCTCCTCATTAACTTCACATCGCCGTTTGTGTGTGTGTGTGTGTGTGTGTTCATGTATTAATTCTGAAACTAATAACTTTGATTAAAAATAAATATACTGAAAATTGGAAAGCTGCAGACATATATAATATTGTTACAGTGTGCGGTAAAATATTAAAGTTAATTAAGCTAATTCAGGCGAGTTTAATTAGCATTCAGATGACACATTTAGGAGATTTCACAGGACTGTAACCTTCTTCATACTTCAAGGTAGAGGAGAGTTGGGAAGCGGCCACCATCCCAGTGGTGGACTACATCAGGAAGGACATGTTTGTACTTGGTGACCTGGCCCAGCTTGACTCTCTTCTCTTAGATACTGACCTCACGCTCCACCTCCTGCTACACTCACAACATGCCCTCCACATCAAGAGCGAGACCATCAGGTGGAAGAATATCCACACCATCATCAGGCAGACACTAGTAAGGTCACTGAGAATATTAATTGCACATACCTGTGTTTATCTCGTAGCCACCATTAATGAGTTGGTGGGGGGGTCCTTCCATATTTGCCTGATAAGCTTTTCGTCATGTAGGAGGGTAATGAAACGTTATGGATAATTGGGGAATAACGGAGTAAAAGGGAGTAGGCAGGAGAAGGCAGGAGAGGTGAGTCGAGTGACAGGAGCGGAGGTAATGTGAGGTCGCTGGTGACTACACCATCACCTCTCATTATCTCTACCATCACACTACTCACCCTCTCAGTACTTGAAATAAAATAATGAATAAAAGTAAATAACGGGGACAGTGACTATTACTATTCTACTCAAACACAGTTTATGATTAAGTCCTTGTACAATAATATATTTGGGAACAGGAGAACACAATTGGGGTTTAGATAAATGGGGATGGTACATATAAACAGTGAGACAGGGAATACAATCAACTGACGAAATGGAATATAACGTACAGTATAGTTCAGAGGACAATTCACCACAGGAACTAAGTCACACACTAGCCACAGGTCCCAAGACCTACACAGCACGAGCACTTCTCCAAGCCAGTACTCTGCTCAATGTCTTTAACAGAGTCTCCTCCAGAGACTCTCCAGCAGCCTTCTCCCGAGCTCTGCACGCAGGCCAGAGCTCTGCTCACCAGCAGCAGCTCTGCTCGAATCTCCTTGCTCAGAGCTCTGCACACAGGCCAGAGCTCCGCTCGACTCTCTGATCCTTCTGTTCCTTGGGCTTATGTGATCCTTCAAGCACCCCCCACAATGGGGTGTGCACCACATGTTTTGACCTGACGCCGAGATCTAACGCCGTCAAGAGCAAAAGACCTTAGACTTAAGCCAAAAGGCGTGTCTGACAGCTATTTGCCAAGGCAAGGTGTGACCATTTATCTGGTTAGGTTAGGTGTCCCTTAGAGACCTCACAAGCATAGTGGACTACATCACATTTTCAGACGATTTTTTAACTATAGTACAAGTTTTGAGGACCAATGTTTCTAAGGTTTATCACTTTGGGTAAAGACTTGGCACAGTGTTACAAGCGTGAAACTGTTGCACTTTATCGTGATGCATTAAAATCTATGAATAAGTGGTCAGCGTTGTATTTTGCAACTTGTTCAGTCCAGCCATGTCTTTAATTTTTTAAGGGCTTACGGTCCTGAAGCCCTCATCATTTCCTTGTTAGTGAGACGGTTTATCCCTGTTGATTGTTATTGTTCTGTTTATGCGAAATACAATCGTTAATTACACTCTTATAAAATTTACCGTTATCATATCGGCGCTGCATGACTTAAGGGTTTAGCACTTGCGCTCATCCATCCTTATTATTAATAATGACCATTGTCATATTACTTCTTAAGTGTTGCTAAACGCTTAAATTACTGGAGGAGGGAAAGGGTGTAGGAACAGATTGATCAACAGGTTTTTAGCTTAGCTGGCCTGCCAGTGGACCACCAGGTCACTGCTATTGATTGGATATGTAGAACATCTTTCTGTCTCTCCTTACTAGTGAAGGAAATAATATCTTCTTAATATACTCTCAATGAAAACGGCAAATTATTATTTAGACATGATTCCGGAAGTTCAAGTCTGTAAAAGTTAGTTATTTCCTTAAACAGAGCTATCTTGATGGTGGAATAAGGGTTCTTGATCTAAGGAATTGGAACTCTCCCTCAAAATAAGTATATGTGTGTGTGAACTTACCTTTATTTGTATATTTGGTTTCAGGGGTCGAGTTATAGCTCCTGGCCCTGCCTCTTCGCTCCACATACACTATATGGCTCCAAGAGCCATATAGTGTATGTGTGTGTGTGTGTATAATATAAAATGATGGTACAATGGAAGAGTGAGAAAAGGTTTCCGTTAGGTCGCCTTAAGGGACTTCGAGGAAGAATGGGTGGCTCTGGAGCCAGTCCTCTCCAGCTGCTCTGCTCATGAGATTTTTCCCCTTCACGCCTCCGTCTTCGCCAGCGTCTCCACTTTCTGGCGCCTCACCATGACCCGGTAAGTCATGTGACAGGTAATGTCGTTACGTAACTGAGTCATAATTATATAGCTCGTCCTCAAATTCTTGAGTTTGCTTCAACATAATTTGTTATTTTCCTTAGCGGTCATCTCCCGCCAAGTCAGGGTGACCTCCCTTCTCCCTATCTTGTAAGAAGTGTGCTGACATCACTGTTCAGATTACCTTCCGACAGCAACATCCTCACTTCTCCTTCAGTGTGCAAGCACTACCCTTCTCACCTACACGACGCGAGTTCTGCTAACCTTTCATAAATGTTACCTTGCTGACATGTCAGCAGTACCTCCATTAACATATTATTGATGATAGACAGTGTCGATAAGTTGATGAATAAGACAAATGTGCATCACTTGGGTGTCTTTATTGGCGAAACGTTTCGCCTGCAGCAGGTTCTTCAGGTAAGTAAAACACGGGAGACAACAGAAATTGTTTTGACGTGATCTGTCGCTCCTGCTAGGAGGTGGCCAGTCTCAGGCCTCCCATTCCTCAAGCGCTATACAATCCCTGTGGGTTTAGCGTGTCCCCATTCATGTTATAATAATAATTTTCAATAACTTGTCTTCATATATTAGGGAAATTTTCAACAGTCAGCCGGACTGTTTTGACTGTAGAAGACGAAGACTGGTCTTGTGTTTGATGTGCTGCGTTTGAAGAAAAATTGTCTTGTACTAGCGAAGGATTCATGATTAAAGGAATATAGAGGTACCCATCCTTGTTATCAAACCTGATTATCCAACCACCCCACCCATTCCCTAGGCATTGTATGGTCCTTAATGGTTTAGTGCTTCCCTATAATAATAATAATAAATTATTATTATTTAACTTAAAATTATTTTTTAATCGCACATTTGAATCATTATATATTAGTGACTGAGGCATTATGTTAAATTTCTTAAAATTACTGTTACTGCGGTTTGCCATTATGTAACACTTAAATGTGCACACAAAGTATTGGAATAAAAAAACGACATATGAATCACACATTTCACGATCAAAATAGGCTATCCGAGGTGTGAGACAGCATATACACTGTACACAGTGAGGTGTGTTTCTCTCAGTGTATGTAAGATAAGATTTTGTTTGGACTTTTAACCCGGATAATTAGCCACCCAGGATAACCCAATAAAGTAGTGCGTCACCGTGGACTGTCATATTTCCATTGGTTTTCTCTAATCTTGTCTCCCCGGATGCTACCCACAACAGTCGACTAACATGACTCACAAAATCGTAATGACACGAGCGCAAACAAACTTACCAGCTGGCTCAGTGGCTAGCACGTCGGTCTGGAGTTCTACGACTGACCGCGGGTTCTAACTGTCAGTGGGGGTTCTTAAGAAGATATGATGGATAAGGTAAACTCACTTGTTGGATGGTAACGATATATATTGTCAGACTGTGGTAAGGAATGGATGGGCCCAGCCTGCCGTGTCACTGCCTGGATGTATATACGCCGAGTGAGAGCGAGGCAGCTCGTCTCACTGCCTCAAGCTGTACCCCGTGACGTCATACAGTCACAGGCCTAGGGAGCTTCTATATAAAGCACATGGATGGTACTATGATACTCAACTAAACTATACATACAACACATGTAAAGGAGGATCAGCAACTATGCTGACATAACCTGACCCGTGGTATGGTTAGTTGACTAACACCTAGGTACCTACTTGCTGCTAGGTGAACAGAGGCAACAACAGTTGTACAGAGGCAACAGATGTAAGGAAAAATGCCCGACGGCGTAAGCCTCACTGAGGACACCCACACTGCCGCGAAGATATTCTAAGCTGGTTAGCTTAAAATACACCCATGAAATACCACAACACCACAAGGATGAAAAAGAGCACTCAGAATTGCTTGGAGCTTGAATCACAAGCGATGAAGACTACTCACATGGCTTGCTTGAGTAATGGGGTAAGACACCTGGGTTAGTTGCTAGCTGGCTTATCTTAACCCTTCACAGAGAATAGCTTGATAACTTCACACAATGAGCACAGCAGGGGTGGAAGCTGGCTTGGCAGGCAAAGGAACTGGATGGAGTAGACTAGGCTAGACTGGACTCCCTCACCACAGACTGGAAGCTGGCTTATTTTGCAAACCCGGGTCAACCCCTCGGGAGTGATGCAAATAAGCAGATAAACACTAATACAAAGAGACTGACCAGTGAATGGTGTAGAAGCTGGTAGGAGCTTGGGCGGGAGAACTGGCTGAGATAGCTGGCTGGCGTTAACCTTCTCAGTAGGCCTACTCACAAGATGGCAGGCTCGGTCGAAATATATCTCCAGAAATCGCTGTAATCGTCAGAATTACAGGCTCTCCGTTGCCACCAATTATCGTAGGGGTTCTTAAATGGAGATATCGAGGGTTGAAGGTAGACACACTTGTTGGATGGTAACGATATATATTGTCAGACTGTGATGATGGGAAATAGAGCCCAGCCTTCTGCCTGTCCTAACCTGTGTCTAACGCCGACTGAGGCCGAGGCAGAGGTACGAACGTACACATGCGCATCCCGTGACGTCACACAAAGTCACAGGCCTAAAAGGGATCTCCTATCTAAAGCACATGGATGATACTATATGCTATGCTATATAACACAGGGATCAGCAACTATGCTGACATTTTCACCGGTGCCGAGGATCGAACCACGGACAGGCAGTATGTGAGCTGAATTCGCTATCAACCGAACCACAGGGCACCTTGATATATATGCTGAGAATTTTAATCCTTAATTTAGGAATCAAAGAGTTCTTGTCTTGTGCTGAAAAAAGTTACGCTCAGTTTTCATGGTGTAGTGAGAGGAATCAAATCCCGTTAACCAGCCAGATACAAGACCAGGTATTTTTTTCCGGATATTCATTTGGGAAATAAGCAGGCTAGCGCAGTTTAGCTAATATTAATGCATTAAAACATGACCGACAGTTATCTAGTCATTCATGGGATGGGGGGGGGAGAATGCTTTGATGGTGGTTCCCTGATCCATGGAACCGGAGTTTCCCGCACTTTCTTTGGATTAAACCTGAATACTTCTCATTTTTCCAGGCGCTGTATGATTCCTAGGGTATCATCATCACATTGATGACCATAATGACTGACTGGTAGTTTGATCATGTGACATCATAATGACCAAACAGTGTTTTGATTATCAGGAATTTATGTGGCAGAAAACTGAGTGAGCAATATTCTGCAATGTGAAAGTTGAATGAAAAGTTGGTATGTGCAACTAAGAGTGCTGCTTATTACGACTAGTGTGGTAATGTGCGAGAGCATTTGTAATAACCTTGGCAGGTAGCTTATTGCTAGAATAGCAAGTGAATGACAGGCGATGCATCTTGCTTAGGGTGAAGGAGGAACCGCGCGTGTTGCAACAGGTGCGTGGAGGAATGCTAGAGGAGGAGACACTGCAAGAGAAGACACAGATGGAGGGCCTGCGTGCGAGTCTAGCTCCTTTGCTGGCCAAGAGGAGACAGACGTGTCCCAGACTCTTCCTGCTGCCCGACGCTCACCTCCTGCAGCTACTCACTAAAGGACAGGTGAAAGCCTAGAGTTTTAACTTCCTGATCGTATCTTGAAATATATATATATATATATATATATATATATATATATATATATATATATATATATATATATATATATATATATATATATATATATATATATATATATATAATATATATATATATATATATATATGCAAAACAACCACTCTGAAAGAATAGAGAAATTCCAAGCGCTTTCGTGACTACTCACATTATCAAGGAACTATGAGTGGTTGTTTTGCATATTCTGAAATCACCTGTTTACTGTGATCTTATTGCATATATATATATATATATATATATATATATATATATATATATATATATATATATATATATATATATATATATATATATATATATATATATATATAAATATAAATAAACAATGATCAGTGGCGCAAAGGAACCCATATGTAGTCAGTAAAACAAAAGTAAATGGCATGGTATACCGACAAGATGTGGATAAATACTTATACCCTGAACTGTAAGCGTTTTAAGCCACAGTAAAACAGGCGAGAACTGAGGTTCTCTTCAGTACTTCTGTAACTAGGTGAGTACAAATAGGAAGCGCGTCTGTCTGGCGCTCAGCAGACGGAGGATCAAGCCTCCACGTCATGCGCTGAATGATCCCCATGGATTTAGCGCTTAAAATAAATTATTATAAAAATTATTATTATCTTCAGTACTGCTGAAGATGGCTTCAATGTTAGGCCGAAATATGTAGTACTCGCCCTACCCTCAATTTTACTGCCTCCATGTAGGTTCGCTTGTCATGTCTTGAGATATTAATGCAATATTAGTTTTCCTTACGTGATTCTGTTGTCTTTTAAATGGTTATGTATTTGCTGTATTGTATTTTCTTTTTCCATTTAATTCCGATAAGTAGTGAGACATATGCAAACTTAAAACGATACACTGACTTTGCTAACAACTCATGTATACGTACGTACAGGAGCCCAAGGTGTGTCACAGGTACCTAAGGAGGCTGTTCACAGGTGTGGGTAGGCTGGTACACGGTAAGGATGGTAAGATAGTGGCACTTGTGTCTCCTCAGGAAGAACTCCTCAGCCTGGCTAAGGTGTGTAGCCGTCCATCGTTCATTCTTATTTCCGTAGTTATCATTTCTGGATATCACAATGGCTTCAATATACTTTCATAGACTTCTCTTTGAGCATATTCTAAATGAATGCATACAGTTATGATGTGTTTATTATGATTATTTCAAAACCTATTTAGTGTATAATTTGTTATTAATCATGTGCAGAGTAGGTAGGTCTTACTTTTTTAATAAATTTTCATTACAATTATAGGCAATCGCTATTTTTACGCTGTCAATTGTGGAGCAGAAAAATATAAAATCTCAGAATCTTTGTCATCGAAATTTTTATTACCTTTTTTTTTTTCTTTCCCGTACTTATTCACTTGCTTTTTATATTCATGAAACATTAAAAAATTAAGAAGTAAGATAGTTTTATCAAAGTTCTCCACAACATTAACTTCCTTATCATCACAATTAATTTCTGTAGCTCTCAAGTGTGGTCCAACATCTTGGTCTCTCCTATATAATCTTCCTCTTTTTTCCCAGTCGTGTTTATCAACATAATGTTTGAAAGCTCTTTCAACTTAACTCTCCAGCAACCATTTAGCATTACTTTCAGTATGGTGCTTCAACATTTAAGAGGCAAGACTTGCCGACAAAAATGATAGACAATCTATGTATATACATAGAGCCTTCCTACCATAAGTGTTGATACCAGTAGTGGACTTGACTCTCGGGTGTCAACAAGAAACACCATCTGGACGTAGTAACTAAGAACCATCCTTTTGGGGACTCTGACTTTCAATAGGATTTGGTACAAAGAATCATCACAGCCGCAGTTACTGAGCCTTCAAGAGTGGTCATTTTTAGAATGTATATCCAAACCTTCAGGGGCTTTCTAACAATAACAATACCATCATTACCACCTCGACAATGGAGGAGGGGTGGTGGTACTCAACATTATCGATTACCATAGCAACGTTTTGGATCTCCTCGGTGATGCCAACACATACTAGTCTCTTTCAGGATCACTGCTACTTGAAGGCACCAAAGCAGCCTACGAAAATAAGAGTAAACAAGAAACTTCTAAATATTTTACCAGGACAACTAAAACCAGCACCTCTTTATGGTCTTCCTTAGACACGTAAGCTTGGCATCACACAGATTAGCTGGTCACCTTGCCAGGTATCTCTCAGCACTACTAGGCATCTATAGCCAATCACACCTTAAGCATTTAGATGACCTTCTCTCTTTGATTTTTATCTTGAATATCAAAAATGAAAACATGGCATCTTTCTGCCACGACTCTCTTTACCAACGTCCCTGTTGATGCTGCCATACAAATTCTGAGACAGAGGCTCACCGATGACTACAACCTCCCATTACCTCTCCAAGGTTTCATAAGTTGAATGGATCTTCGTGTCAATTGCAACTTCTTCGGCTATCAAGAAAATTGCTACAGTGTTTTGGGATGACATTGGGCAGTCCCCTCAGTGCTGTGTTTGCCAGCCTCTTCATGGAGAACCTAGAGACCGACAAATTCAGCACCTTTATTACCACCACAGTTTCCTAGTTAAGATACGTTGACGATATCTTAGTGTTCTATCCTAGACGTTATAATAGCCAGGTCCTCCTCAAGAAAATCAACGCTGTCGTGCCATCTCTAAAATTTACACTGGAACTCGAAAAGAAGGCAAACTTCCTTTCCTTGACGTCCTCTTGTTTAAGTTTTTCCGACAGCAACAGCCTTTTCTTCAAAGTGTATAGGAAACCTACCAATAGTTATGATCACTGGTCGCCGTTGCCCAGCGGTGAGAGTAGCGACTCATTGCTGAGGTCCAGGTAATAAACCCTGGACATTAACATAAAAAAAAAAATAGTTATGATCTTATGCATTCCTATTCACGACATGACACTTATTGGATTCTTCGTGAGAGCTATTGACATCTCCAGCCTTTGTTTCCTTCAGGAATGTATCTATATATCATAAGCCTTCACAGGTCTTCAGTTTCCGCCTTTCTTTATCTGGTAATGCAGACTAAAGTCACAAGCTGCCCTAAACGAATCCTCCATGGAACATTCCTCCACAGTTCGTAGTTCTCCCGTGTGGTGATGTTGCCAAGAATATTCACTAGGTGCTTGCAGCAATATCAGTGTTTCCACCATAAATGCATTCTCCATCAAAGATCTCACTACGAAGTGAGATCCCACACCTCTAACTTCTACAGCAGGCGTCTACACCATTCTGCCCCAAGCAATATGTAAGGGAAACAGGAAGAAATCTATCAGTCCACCTAAGTGACAATCGAAGCGCCTGGAACAGTAATACCTGTGTCCTCCACAGGTGTTACTGGGACATTTAAAGAGTTGGAATGAGGCACAACTTGTCCTCACTCAACATGACCTTAGACGCCGACGGTGCCTCGAGTCTTCACTAATTGTCGTCACCGTCCCATGGAATATAATGCTGGAAGCTGCAGAATTTAAAAAATACTTTCATACATGATACATATTCACACTAAGTCCAACCTACCTCATAGCACAGAAATTACTCGACTTCATAGGCTACATGACACCAACTCCAGATAAACTCAAAAATCCTCACCTGATTTTCACCAGGTTAATATATGTCACACATCTCACTTCCAGCATATATATATTGTTATTTTTCGACCCTGGTATGTTAGAAGCGATCAAAGTTCCAGGACCGAAACGTTTTCTAACTGATATGTCCTGTAGTTTGCTCAAGTGTCTTTTTAAACCAACCTGATTATCTCCTATATCCCAGACTTTTTATGACACCCAGCAACATAGCGCTTTCTCATGAATATAATAATAATACTTGGTCCTCCAACGTAACCTTTTCTTTGTTTAAATTGAAACCTCTATTACCTTTATAGAGGTTTCACTGCAAACAGTGTCTTTCTCACTACCTGTCGGCTTAGGTCATCCATCGTTCATTCAAACTTTTCTTAGCATGTATCAGCAAGGGGGTTTTCCAGCTCGTTTGTTATCGTAGTGCAGCACATGCGTGCAAGTTTTGCCCAAAAGAATAAAAGTCGTGATACTATGGCTGGAATAATTCACAACAAATCCACAAATTTGAAATGGAAACTAGACAATGTTTTTGTTCGTCCCGGACTTTTAGCAATCGCAACTTGATAATAACCCAAGACAAACTGAAACGTCCAGTAGTTAACATTTTCATCTTGTGGGTTAGTTGTGGAAAGGGCTGATTAATCTCTGTGGTGTTGCAGCCCGTGGTTGCCCATCATGGCGTGGAGGACTGGCTGGGGAGGGTGGAGAGCGGGATGAGGGCCACCCTCAAGCGGCTCATTCTCAAGCACGTCAAGGACCAGCAGCTCCTGCAACGCTCTCAGGTACCACTGCAGGTAAGACGTGCTTGTTGTATTAGTCTATTAGCAACACTTTCATATCAATGAGTTACATTAAAAGTACCCAACAATAAAATAAAAATTTGGCATCAGTCTTAGGCTTTACTGTCAAAACAATTGCATTATTACTCATTAAAAAAAATGTAAAAGGAGCAATTCTTTCCCCTCACCATTTATATATATTTTTAATTTTATTACTGCCTTTATGTGCAGCATTACGGGCTATTATTTTATTTAGTAGATTCTTATCATAATATTGGTAGAATTGCTGACAATACAACATATCCATCAAAGACCTTTCCAATGAAGAACCTCGAACCAGTTAATGTCACAGACTTCCTTGCGAAGGCTGTGACAAGGTATACGTCGGCGAAACAGTACGAAGCGTAGAAACACGTCCAGTGAACACATATTAGCATGCAGAAACGACAACTTTAACAACTCGTGTGTACAACACAGGAATTCTACCACCCTAAAATTTAAATGAGATTCAGAGACGCCCGCCTGGTGATCCAAGAACCAAATTTCCGCAGACGTAAATGTGCCATTTTAGGCACCGTTAAACAGGATAAAAGTAGCTTCATCATCTTTGAAGTGTTAGCAAGAGTTCTCCACAATACAATAAACCCCGCCAACACAAAGCTACCATAAGTTACCTCCACTTCTGTACTACCACTATTGGTGCTACTACTACCACTTATAACATGGGCCAGTATTGTAATTCATTGTATCAATTCTATATGGGCCAGTAGGCCTACTTCAGTGCTTATACTCTTTCGCCTCACATTGTAACCGTGTGTCATTGCATTGTTTGTACTGGCTTGACCAGGCATCTTGGGGAACGAAACGTTGCCGCAGTAAGATGTCACATGAGTTACTAATTAATTTAGCATACCATTATCCCCTTCAAGGTGGGTGAGTGCTTTGATGCTGAGAAGGGTTCTCGATCTAAGAAAAAATGAGCTTTCATCCTCTTCCTTGGATCAAAACTCATTACTTCTCATTTCATAGGCACTGTAAAGCCCATACATGTTTAACGCTTCCCTATGAGTATAATAATTTTAATCAGGAAGCGTAAACCCGTAGGGGATCATGTATTACCTGGGGAATGGGAGGCATTCAGGTTCGATCCAAGGAAAGGTAGGATAAATTCAGTTCCCTCTATCAAGAGCCCCTCGTCGACATATCAAGGCACCTTCCTTGAAGGCGTAATAACAATGATAATGGTTTAGATTATTATAATTATTATAATCAAAGAAAGCGCTAAACCGACAAGGGTCATGCAGTTAAATTTTTCAGACAACCGACAAGTTAAAGAATGTTGCAAGTGTCTCATTCTTCAATAATACACTATGGTGCCACACGTATTTCATATTTATTCTTTGTAAATCATTTGTTTATTCTATAATGGTTATCAAATCGGTGGCAGGTCTTAGATGTGTGTCGTCGTATCCAGTGGGATCGTCAGATAACGGTGGCATTCGAGGCGACTACTTCGTCAGGGACCAAACCTGACCTTCAGACGGTTGCGAGGAGCGTCGGGCAGGACCTGAAGACGCTGACGGGGTGGACGAGGAGGGTTCAGGAGGGCACCACGCCACTACGGGCAGCCCAGCTAGCATACCTCACCGCTACCTTACTCGAGCTCAGAGACACTACGGCAGAGCTCCTGAAGGACAACCCCACCTCCAGGTCTGTACTATCTTTCGTTATTCGTATGTTTAGTAAAGAAAAATGCAACTGAGTGCACGTCGTCTGTCTTTTTCGGACAACCTCAACAATAGCATACTGACATCCGTGTTTTGTATGTTTTCATTATTCTTTGTTTTAAACAACCACTAATAATAATAATAAAAATAAATGATGATTAACATAGCAAAAATAATAATGAACATAATTACAATAATTCATGATAATATTAATATATGACAAGAACAATAACGTTAAAAATAAGATAATAAATAAAATTCTATTTAATTACCATTGTTACATCGACACCATGCCTAACCCTTCTAGGGTAGGGTAGGTGCCTGAGCCCTAGCCTTTAGCTCATAAGACTGTCATTCCCATTTGCCCCCTTGGGGCGGGGATGGCAGACCAGAGAGGCCTAGCTTGTGGCTAAGCCTAGGGACAGTTGGTCCCAAAGATGAGGAGGTACTTGTGCCTCCTCCCATGGGAGACTTAGGTCTCAGACACTCCCTAAAGAGGGAGCCAAGGCCGGGCCACCACTTGGAAAAGGCCCGGGCCGGGAGAATACCGGCGAATCTTTAATACTAATACTAAATAATACCATTGTTAGGTTCATGGATATCTTTCACTATGTATCCCGTGCAGGGAGAGGAGGGATACCATATAGTTTTAACGCATTTATTTGTATTCACATTTATCCATTGTTAGGTTTCTGAACATGAAAGAAAAATTTAAATTTAAATAATTTATGAAACATGAAAGAGAGCTTTCTCTTGACAATGAATAGCATATTTTCCTAGTGGTCTTGGAGAATAATATAGTTTTTGGTCAGATTATTGTAGGATGACGCGACAGTGGTGACATATATCATCTTGTTTCATTATCTCTTGTAACACGGAGTACTGGATGACTTTTTTAACACGCTGGCCGTCTCCCATCAAGGAGGTTGACCCGAAAAAGAAACACTTTCACCATCATTCACACTCACTGTTTTGACAGAGGCGCTCGGATACGACAGTTGCTGTATAATGTCAATGAAAATGTAGGCTCGGCAACTTTTTTAAGAGCCAATAATTTATTATATATATTTTAAAAATATAATATAGAAAACCAGTTTAATTAAAGTTTACAGGCCTTCTAAAATATATATTGTTGGAATAAGAAGTATTATGAAATATACAGGAAATAAAAGAAATTAAAAGTGTCTGTAAATAGAATTTTTTACAATATATTTGTCATTTCACGTGTGTTTAATTTTCTAGAACTTTATAATTCTTGATTATTAAGACCTAATTGTTGGTGAAATCGTATTTTTAAGCGAGTTGCGCTATTTTTATTTTATGTGTGGCTTTCCAATGTTGTGGTAATATTTGTTTAGTGTGTTTGTGCTATATTATTATTATTATTATTATTATTATTATTATTATTATTATTATTATTATTATTATTATTATTATTATTATTATGGGAAATGCGGCACATGCACCTTTGAGGGATGCATGTGCTATATTATTTAATTACTGCGCAGAAAATCAAAAACTTTATTCCCGTCAAAGGACTTGATTACTATAAAGAATACGTAGTTTAATATTTTGACTGATGCATTAGAGTATGTGCGTCGAGTGTTGAATATTACGCTAAAAGTATAGTATGCATTTGACCTACAAACTCGCAATGTGTTATATCTGCAGGTGGTCATACTCTTGGCTGCACCACCTGCGTCACCAGGTGACAGGTGAGGGTCGCAGCGCAGGTGTCCAGGTCGCTGTGGGTGTCGACAACTTTGATTACGGTTACGAGTACATGGGTGTGGCGGCAGCCACAGTACACACACCCTCCACGTTGCGGGCTCACCACTGTCTCCTCACTGCCTCCATCAGACACAAGTGTGAGTGGTGACTGGGGCAACCAGTCGACAAGTGGCTATAAAGACACGTAATGCAAAGGAAGCATTTATCTTAGACGTTTCGCTCAGGACTTGAGTTTTCAGAAGACTTATCAAAGCTCGGTTCCGAGAGGAAAGTTGTATAAAATAAAGAATTGCTCTGCTATTATGTCTTTATAGCTAATAATGTTAGTCTTCACGTCTTACTCGTTGTCTTGCAACAAGGTAATGTACAGTTGGAACCTTGTCTGTCTCGCTGTTATCGGATGGATGATCAAGTCTTCACTGGTTCTCGAGTCAAATAACCTACACGAGCCGTCGAACTCTTCAAACAGTATAAATATTACAGCGTCACAACATTGGGTCAATAAGGGTGAGGCCTGAGCTTGCTACCACCTGCAGCTCATAAGACTGCCATCCCCTACGAGCCCCGTGAGGGCGGAGACTGTGGCTAGGCCTGGGGACAGTTGGTCCCAAATTTGAGGGAGTAGTTGCGCCTCCTCCCATGGGAGACTTAGGTCTCGAGACACTCCCCAGATAGGGAGCCAAGGCTGGGTCACCACTACTTGGAAAAGACTCGGGCCGGGAGAATACCGGCGAATAAAAAAAAAAAAATTGGGTCACTCATCCTACACGGACACACATTCCGCTTCATCAGTATTGAATAAAAGATTGACACTTTAACTTTGATTTATCATATTTATGAGCTATTTGTTTTTTACAATTTAAGATTTTATAATCTCGATGATTTATTGGTTAATGTAGTTGAGTCCTATCGACTGCAGTAGGTAATACAGTAAACCCTGAAATAGGGATTAAAGTAAAGTCTCAGCATACATAAACTGAGAGAAATTCACTACTCGGTGTGAGGGTAGACTAAATATCTATTGACAGAAATATATGATTAAAAAAGTTCAGTGAGGGTATTCAATTATTTTATGTATTATCAGAACTTCATCGTGACGCTAGGCTTCTCTGAATACCGTTAATAATAATAATAATAATAATAATAATAATAAAGACGGTAAAGAAATGGTTAGTGAGTTGATCATATATGAAAAGCGTACTATTACTTTTTATTATTATTAATTTATTATTCACAGGAGGTGTAAATCGTTTTACATGTTACTATCGTTCTAGCCCGGCTGATACGGTACTGACTTTAGGTATTTGTCCAGCTCCCTCTTGGTTGTCTTCAAGAGGGAGCTGGACAGATAAGTCAGTACCGGATCAGCCGGGCTGTGGTTCGTACTTTGGACTACGTGCGGCCAACATTAACAGCCTCGTTGATCAGGCCCTGATTCACCGGGAGGCCTGGTCATGGACCGGGCCACGGGGGCGTTGATCCCTGGAATACCCTCCAGGTAGCCGTATAACAGAACGTGAGTAAAGAGTGCACATCAAAATTTAAATTACAGTTCTTCAATAATGTTTACTCTATTTTATTCTGTTAGTAGTATAACCTGTTACACATCACAAACAGGTTGCAGAAAATAATATAGCAACTTTTTATTATACGGAATGCAGGTGGGGTGGCGGTGGGCGGCGTGGGCGGCGGCAAGACGGAGACGCTGACCAGTTTAGCTCGAGCGGCTGGACAGTACTTGGCCACCCTCACCTGTACTGCCCACACGCCCACACAGGTACCAGAGAAGGCAACCTGTCCTCAAATTCCCAAGTTATTTATTGTGATTTTAGTTTTTTCAACATTCATAAACGAATGATAAGTCCAACCTAACATAATCGGTTCTGTTCTAGATACAAATAACAGCGTAAGGGAATCCTTAATTTTTTTAAGCTGATTTTTTTACGTTTCTTAGGTTAGGTTTGACTGACTGGATTATCGTTAATTCGTGCTAAGCATTTTTGTGATTAAGTTTTTTGTCATTGAAAGAGATCAGTTAAGTTGGCACATGTAATATAATGTATGATATTTACCAACTCGTTCTTCAAGCAGTTGAGTCACTTCTTCACATTCGGTTCGCATTTCTAAGCTATATCCATTAAAAATAATAAATTATAACATTCCACAATAGGAAAACCATAAATATAAGATAAAGGGAAATAAAAAAAAAGTCTGCAGCCGCCAGCAGAAACAGGCATCCTCTGCGCGCGGCTCCAGTAATAGTCAGAATTACTACTTTTTAAGATGCCCTTACAGTCGCCCATTGTTTTTACAACTACCACGATGCCTGTGCTTAAGAGGACGGTCTGTACGCATATCTGGAGACGCAGTTATGTTGGGTTACGATTCATCATTCTTAAATGCATTTTGAAATCGTACATATGTATGTAAATTGACTAACTTGCGAATCGTAGGCTAGGTTGAGAGTAGGAATGGGTGTGATGGGAGGGACCGTACATGGCTACCCGTACCCACACATGTAGTAGCCGTGAGCACACTAGTAGTCGTGTGTACACACACATGTGGTTTCCTTGAGCATGGTTAACGCTGAATATATAGCTGTATATAAAACAGACGGCAACATGTATAAAGTAACTTGGGTTTTGTTTACGTGTGCAGAGTCTGCAGAGTGTTGTGAGCGGGTGTGTGCAGGGCGGGTACTGGTTGGTTCTGAAAGACGCGCACCACCTCCCACCAGCTGCCCTGGCCAGCCTCGCCCAGTACGCCCACAATATCCACCATTCCAAGCTCCATTCTCTCAAGAGGTACACATCTTCCCTGCTTTTATTGTGTTTCACACAACGTTTATCCCATTATGTTTTAGCTATATCTTCAATAGAAGTTAAGCTGATTACTATTTTCATTATTTTTTAAACGCCCGCCGTTTTCTATCATGGTAAGGTGACCCGAAGAAGGGAACATTTGCCTTCGTTTGTCATTATTTATTGTTATTATGTTCATCGGGAACGTTAAACTCGCAGGGTTCGCAGAGTACCTGAGGGAACTGGATGCAATCAGGTTCGATCAACGGAAGGGGAGGACACCTTGAGGGGTACCAGCGTTCATCTGATTGTTGTCTTCCCTGAAGCGTGCAACCTCATAATTCTATGGACCCTCCGAAGTGCTATGTACTCTGCCATCCATCAGAGTGCAGGCACTGTACTCTATTATTATTATTATTATTGGACAGCCACTTTAGTTTGATGGGATGATCGCAACCTTCATATATACCATGGTCCACACTGACTTTGGGGACTTCTCATTCCAGTATATATCAACAATTTTTTTTTAGTGTGGAGAGTAGACAACTGACTTGATAGGGATTGAATACCTTAGTTACCTCTTCACTCTTTCCATTGTCTTCGGTATATAATCTATGTATTGGATTGTAAAAGCCACTGATTACAAAACGTGTTGCATGTGTTACTTATTCATCATAATAATAATTTATGTAAAGTCTGACAACTTACTCCTCAATAGGTGTGTGATCGACGGTCAGGAGATGAAGCTACTTGACTGCTTCAGTTTATTTATGAGTGTGACTCAGGAGAGCAATATGGCGAGTATGTCACCCAGTCAGTCCTCGACGTCGTCACCCAGTCAGTCATCGTGCCCACTGCTTAACCACCCAATCACTCCTCACATCACCTCTGTGACGGTGTGTCCACCCAGGATCGGTAAGTCCTATGTCAATGAAAACTTTATTATTCACCTACGGATAATATATTATATATATATATATATATATATATATATTATATATATATATATATATATATATATATATATATATATATATATATATATATATATATATATATATATATATGGGTAGGGGTCGCCCTCGAAAAGGTTGGAAGGAAGGGGTAAGGGAGGTTTTGTGGGCTAGGGGCTTGGACTTCCAGCAGGCGTGAGTGAGCGTGTTTGATAGGAGTGAATGGAGACGAATGGTATTTGGGACCTGACGATCTGTTGGAGTGTGAGCAGGGTAATATTTAGTGAAGGGATTCAGGGAAACCGGTTTTTTTTTATATAGCCGGACTTGAGTTCTGGAAATGGGAAGTACAATGCCTGCACTCTAAAGGAGGGGTTCGGGATATTGGCAGTTTGGAGGGATATGTTGTGTATCTTTATACGTGTATACTTCTAAGCTGTTGTGTTCTGAGCACCTCTGCAAAAACAGTGATTATGTGTGATTGAGATGAAAGTGTTGAATGATGATGAAAGTTTTCTTTTTGGGGAGTTCCTTTCTTTTTGGGTCACCCTGCCTCGGTGGGAGACGGCCGACTTGTTAAATATATATATATATATATATATATATATATATATATATATATATATATATATATATATATATATATATATATATATATATTATATATATATACAGTATATATATATATATATATATATATATATATATATATATATATATATATATATATATATATATATATATATATATATATATATATATATATTATATATAATGTGCCGAATAGCTCAAACTTTCGATTTTGGCTTAAATAGCAACGCTCTTCTTATCGAATAAGGCAAGCGAAAATATGTGTATGCAGTAATTTCGCAAAAATCATTCTGAACCTAAGGGAAAAAATATATTTAATTGTCTTTGTTTATTATTAAATTATTGTAAACTTATCTAAAATATGTTTAGTTGGATTAGGCTAAATTATATTGCGCTTGTTATAATAAGGTTAGGTAAGTTTTCTGAGGTTCTTCTGGTACAAAATTATTAATTTTAACATTAACCTAAATGAAAAAAAAAATATGTATATATATCTTTAAACGCATAAGAGAAAATTTTATAAAGGACTTAATTTTAAAGGAGTTCTTGCTAATTGACGAATTTTACTTATTTGGCACGATATACTATATATATACATATATATATATATATATATATATATATATATATATATATATATATATATATATATATATATATATATATATTTATTTATTTATTTATTTATTTATTTATTTATTATTTATTTATTTATTCATTTATTTTCAACACGTCGGCCGTGTCCCACCGAGGCAGGGTGACCCAAAAAAAAGAAAAACACTTTCACCATCATTCACACATAATCACTGTCTTTGCAGAGGTGCTCAGATACCACTGTTTAGATGTCACTCGAAACAGCTAATATCACAACTAGGCTTGCGCATAACCTATTTCATCCTTAGACACGTTGCTCGAGGCGGTGCTCGTGGGTCGAGGCTTCAGTTGTTCTCCAGGTTACCTGCTGATGGTACGTCAGTGTTTCACTCACTTCACCGCCCTCCTACCCACTGCGCCCCCGCCCGCCCTTCCCAGGTGTGTTAATGGAATGTTCTTTGAAGGAATGGTTCCTTGATGCCGGTGAAGAACTCTTGTGTAGAGGAAATGGGGAGGGCTGCTCTCCCCTTCTTTGGGTTATACCTCATTATTTCCCATTCCCCAAGTACTGTATGATTCCTACGGGTTTAGCAATTGTCCATGCATATAGCAGTAGTAATCTGGAACCAAGCCTTAGGAGCTATCGTAGTCACTGAGCAGTTGAATACTTGATAGTATCCTTATCACCTTATTGAGGTCTCATAGGTTTCAAAAGACAATGAAAGTAACTTTATGCAAGTAATGCAGCCTTTGTGATGAATCTAACAAGGAAACGTTAACTAACTGTTGTTTCCGCAGTGTACTGCAAATATACCCACTTTTGTTTAATATAAAAGGTGAGTACAGGACACTTTCATTTACATCTGACCAAAATGAAATGATTTTGGTTTTTCGATTATGATTTTGGTTTTTCGATTAATTTCGCCTGTAGTTTATATAACTAGTGACACATTATTTTGTATTTGTTTGCCATATATGTCAGAAACATATTGAATTTTTTTTCATTGTAATATTACAGACTTGTGCAGGCGACAGCTCGGGTGTCTTGTGATATAAGAAATGTGATGCAAGGTCACATTAGCCACCACACCAGCTCGTGTGAAAATTCAGCGATGACCAATGCATTAAGTGTGGAAAGACAACATTTAAAGGAAGGCACAGTAGGAGAGTCCATTGCCACTCCGTCGTCGGGTGTCACTTCTCTATGGATGCGCCTTCCAAGATACTCGCGACCATTGACAGATGAAGCCGTCATCACTCAAGCTGTTTACGCAGTGCTCACTCCCCTGCTCAGTGACAGAGAGCAAGAATGGCGTCGTATTTTCACCAAGATTTTTGATATCGAAGAACCCGAAGATAATCAAGGATCTGCTGAGGATTCAGAGATCGAGGAGTCAGTGCGTGAAGTCCTACTGGAATGGGGCTACAGAAGCCGCGAAGCTTCGGAGTCTATTGAAAACTTACAACCGGTAAAAGAACCGAGTTCTGATATTAATGTTTATGATATTAACAAGGCACAAGAAGTTCAGAGTAATGAGAAGCGTTGTGTTGAAGGGGCAAATACGGAACTGGAGAAAAATTATGGACCTATAATACAGGAATCTGAAACCAGGAAATCAGAAATTAGAATGAATCTGAGTAGCCACGGTGCTAGCCTTCTGAAGGCAGCTTTACACATGTACTCCCTCCTCGCAATACATCACTGCTGTTGCATCACGTCGTCCTCGGGAGCTGGCAAGTCTACTGTATGGAAGGTAATTCTCCGTCTTATTTTTTAACTCGTGACAAACTTAATAGTTAAGGTGCCTACTAAGATCATTATTAATAGTTTGTAGTCCTCTTATTAACTATGGTGAATTGTAGGTGCTGGCGGAATCACTAAATAGACTGTGGATGAGAGAAACTGGTGACAAACGTGAGATTCGACCGTGGAGAGTGGCATGCCAGGTGGTGCACTGCGGAGCCTTCACTAGACGTCACCTGCTGGGGTACTGGCACGATGATGGTAACGTGTGGCGCAAGGGTGTTCTCTTTACCACTCTCACTGAGGCACAGCAGGTTAGTATCTTTGTATATGATAGTAAAACCGTCACAATTACAAAAAACATTATTGCGTTGTATCACAAGGCTAGTTTCTTTCGTCGACATTTGTCTTGTGAAACATCATATGAGGGAAATTCGTTGGGTCCCAAAGATATACTTGTGTTTTAATTCCCTTGTATAATTGTCTTATCTCTGTCGGTCTAGAGTGACGGGGAGAGGTGGGTGGTGTTGGTAGGACCCTTGCAACGCAGCGTGCAAGCAGCCCTTGTCTCTCTTTTTCATCCCTCGCCAGTCTTCAAAGATGAGGCTCTGTATCAGGTCATCCTTGGTCACCATATCAGGATCATACTTGAGCTGAATGGAGAGGAGGACCTAATTCCTCAAGTCCGTACCAGGTATGAATTAGGAAGAGATTACATAATTTACTTATTTTTTTACACACTGGCTCTTTCCCACGCATCCCCGAAGTTCAATCACCATGCTTCTCACATTCATAACGCAATGCAGGCTAACCGATTTCCCTGAATCCCCCTCATAAATTTTACCATTATCACACTATCAGTACATCAAATCACGCAAGCCACTCGCGCCTTTCTGATGGATGTCTCTGTCTCACAACACCTTCCAACGTTTCCTCGAACGTAACCTAACATCTACCCCAGAATGATACACCCTTTTAATACATTTACCTTTATTTTTTCTGCATGATTACTCAGCAGACCCCTTTTTTTGTTCTTCGAACTATGCTTCATTCCAGTGTTCATTAAATTCTTATTCCATGCCTTATTTTAACAAATATTGATCTCAGATGCAACATTTCCGCTGCCTATTGCATTCTCGATCACTAGCGCACTCAACTCGCACACTGAGGTCCGGAGATCGAATGTCTGTTAACGCTGGAAAACATTAGGGACGTGTTTCCATAAGACATCTGCTGTCCCTGTTCACCCATCAGTATAAAATGGGTACCTGGGTGTTAGTCGACTGGTGTGGATCGCATCCTGGAACAAAACTGACCTAATTTGCCAGAAATGCTCAGCATAACAAGCGCCTTTCTGTATAGTATGTCATTGATGTCAACTAGGACTGTATACCTTGTACATGTACTTTTATATATCAAGATATATTATTATTATCATCATCATCATCAAAGGCCATTCTTCACACCCATGCAGAAACTTCAGTATTACTCTAATTTGACGCCTTGTCATTTTTCGTCCATTGAAAAGCTTCTTTACACAAATTTCTAAACACTCCTGCAAGTTTATTTCACTCATCTATTCTGTAATTGACCTTATCCTTCAGAAACCTGTATCTTGATGCCTCCACATTTTAAGCCAACACCTCTCCCTGACTCCAGCATTCTCTTTTACAATTGCATCCATAAACACATTAAACACTGGTGGTAACATCACATAACTTTATTTAGATCTACTTTTACTGGAAAATATTGCCTTTCTTTCATAAACGTCTTAACCTGAGCTTCATTTTAATCGTGAAAGCACTTTATGGTTTTCCCACAACTTACTACATAAATTTGCAACTCTGCTCTCTTCCATGCTTTTACCAAGTTCATAAGTACAACTAACAGCTGTGTTTCTTTATCTAAATTATGTTCACTGGTGTACTTCAATGCACACATTCTCTGCACATTTCATTTACCATTCTACATCCATTCTGTTCTGTATTTTTTTCTATCTTTCCCCTTACTCGGTCAGAATTCTACCAAACACTAACCGGTGTATTCTAACAAACTTATTCCCTTATAACTGTTATTTACATTTTCGCCCAAATTCTCTGCCAGTTCTTGGGTTCGTTATCTTCTCTTGTAAACATACTCAACATTTTTACCAATAATTTCAACTCTACTTCAACTTTGTTTTTCATTATTTCATTCTGTATCCCATCCAACCCTGTTCCTTTTCTACTTTCAATCTATTTACTTCTTCCCTCCCTTCACTGTTACTTCAAGCTCTCCCTTTATTATCACTAAGATTTTCACTCATTCTGAGACATCACATTCCTCTTCGTCTGCTTCAACAAGTTTTTGCCTCTGATCATCAGCAATAAAAATCTTCTGAAATAGTTTTATTCATCTTTTATATACCTCTGCCTCCTCCAGAATCTCATTACTTTCACTTCTGATAGACAAGTCTATTTATTTTGTAGGTTTTCCCACATTTTCTCTCTCTCTCTCTCTCTCTCTCTCTCTCTCTCTCTCTCTCCAAAGGAGTTTATTATTCTCAAATTGTTTTATTGATAATGGTCCACGTTGTACTACTTCTTTTCAATCCCTGTTATTTTTTCTCCGGACAATCTACATTTATTTAATTTTAAGATTGTGAAAACTTTTCCTGGGCCAAATATTTCTCATTTACCACCAGTTTCATCCTATTATTTCACCAGTTATTAACATTTCCTCTTGCACATATAATGAAACCATGAACCTCCACTGCACACTCTGGCTTCTGCCTTTAATCCATAGTAAACTTTTCCAGTATCTTCATCACTGTCTCTACTCTAGCCAAACTTCCAAAGGTAATCATAAGTCTCACTAGCAATCCTCTTCTTTACATATTTTATCCACATATTTACTTCAGTCAAAAAGCGTAACAAGGACAATAACTTGCCATCTTTCAGTCATTACTTCTCAAGTGAACAAATTTATTCTCTTCCATGTCATTAAATTTTAGATTATTGTATTCATCCAAACCTGAAGAGTTACAATATGTTTAGATACGATAATTAGTATATGAAGCTTTGAATATAAACATAATTTTAGTATAATAGAGTTAAACTGAGATCGTGAGCTGAAGGTTGAAGTGATGGAGTGCGGTTGATCGCGGTAATGTATTAGTTTTTTTTTCCGTTACTCTGGTGATGGTCTACAGTTTGGAAATATTAAATAACCCACATTTATTTCTGTTTTATATTATAGCATTTATAGTTATTGGTCATGTTAGTTATTTCAGTAACAGCTTTAAATAAATTTTCCGTAAACTTGATTCTCCTCATTCATCTATGATTATATATTTCCAATTATTTCTGGAGATATTTACGTTAATTACTAAAACAGTAAAAAAGTATTTGTACCGAGTAATGAATGCGACAGTTCAGAGGTATTGTGTGCAGGTGCCCGGTGCTGGAGCTGGATACTGAGGCGATAAGTGTGGAGAATGCTGCTGACGAGGGTGTCCACCGCCTTGCATACCTTCTCCCGCACCTTCAGGCGCCACAGGCACTGGCAAAAGCGGGCTCCACTCTGGCTCGAGGCCTCCTCAACCTCCAGCTTCCTCACACTTCACTGGTCAGTACCACACTCACATTTTTGGCATGGGGATTTGCTAGTGTATATGAAGAGACATATGTTAGTCAGTTAACAGTGCACGCGCGTGCCTGTATGTGTGTACTTACCCATATGTGGTTTGCAGGAGTCGAGTCTTAGCTCCTGCTCCCACACTTTGCCAGTGTGTGTTTCAACTAATTAATTTGCAGTTAAATGAATTGCGCGTATGCTCGTGGTGTCCTGTTTTCTATAATAAAATTATCGTTTAGATAATTACAAAGACCACTGGTCGTGGCACAGTATTTCTCTGCGTTCATTCCATTCATATACTGCCACAACTATGGACAAGCATTTTACCATATACCTTCTGCATTGTTTTATACATCCGTGTATACTTCGACGTTCTTGTTCTTCTTGTTGTCACTACAACTATCCTCCTTGTCTATAGGTTAACGTCCTTTTATAAGTGATATGTAGTTATTATATCTCCTCCCATCATAATATCTACTCAGAACATTTCCTGTGTCTTCATAGCTCTTTTTTTTCAAAACTAAAATACATATATTTAGGCATTTTTAAGATTTAGCTATTTGTGTTTAGGTGTGCACACTTGACCACATATTCCACTTTTAATCCAATGTATATTATAAAATAATCAGTATTTTACTATCCATGTATTTGAAAGCCATTTTAAAATTGGTTATTATATCTAGATTGATAAGATTGTCTGGTGACAACTTATATTCACCCTATGGTCTTTTTATTCATTCGATGTTCTTTAAAAACTTACTGGTTTCAAATGTCCAGCGGGTTGCACAAGGATCTGTACTTGTTCCTGTAATTATAAATCTAATGACTTACTAGAAGAAATATTAAACTGTATGAATTTGTTTTGAGATGCAGGGTATATAATGGAAATTACTAAATCTTTACAATATGACTGGGATAAATTGAGGAAATGGAGTGACACTTTGATGATAGAAGTTAATGTTGATAAATATCGTATAATGGAAATGTGAGAAAGCGAAATCAGATATCTTTATATAAAGAAATAAAGTTTGTGACAAAACTCTGGGAGCACCATACAAAGAAATGGATCTACAAGTTATTAATAAAATATTTTCACCCGATCATATAAATGAAATAGTGAAAAATGCATATACTACACTGGCTAACAAAAAAAATTCTCTCCAAAATGTATGGATGAAGAAATACTGAAAAAAAAGTTTACAATATTTAAGCAAAATTGGAATATGCAGGTGCCGTGAGGTGTAATCACCTTTAAAAAAATATTTTGATCACAAAGTTAAAAACAAAACGCCAAAAAAATATGAATAATAAGGAAAGGCTCAGAACCCGAAAGATTTTCAAAGTGAATGATAAGAGGAAAAAAGGGAGGTATGACAATAGCATAAAACATTATAAGAAATGTGAGATGTATAAAGAAGTTTGTTTGTAGCTACAAAGAGGATAACAAAAGGTCACAGACATCAATGAAGCCGAAGGGCTACTGAGATTTTTGTTCGTCACAGCTAGAGTGGCAGATGGATGAAATAGTTTAAATAATTAATAAGTGCTACAACCATTGAAATAAAAAAACTGAGCATCGCTCTGATCCTTTTCCTATAAATAATTGCTGTATGCTAATTAAAATCTTCATGGGGTCAATTTCCACGTTCACTTATATATGGCATATATCAACTTATATGCTATATATCAACATAAAATTTCACCATTTTTTTTAACCTTTGTGTTCAAGTTATTTAAACGATCTTGTACAAATTTTCAGTTATCTTTATATTTTTACCTATTATTAGATTTTTTAATTATCTGCTAATATATTCGCATAGTTATTTCTTTCTTTCGGTTAGTCATTTATATAGATTAAAAACAGCATCAACACTGATATTTTTCTGGACGCCAAGAATATAATTTCCTTGTTGTGGAATATTTTGGATTTTCCTATATTCAGCATGGGTAAATTTTAATAGGAAAATCCAAAATTTTCCACAATTACCATTGTGCTTTTTCTTGAGATGCGAAGCTTCACATACAGAGATGTAGTGTACATTAACACCTACATTTTCTGATTTCCTAATTAATCTTTGTTAAGAAATTCTATTACTGTCATTAAGATGTTTTGTAGTAGGCTTTTAATGCCTTGGTAACCCTAGACTTTGAAACAAAAGCAATACAGTCAACACTTACGAAGTTTTTCATATGCTGTTAATATTTTGGATGTACTTTTTCAATTGCATTTACGAAAAAAATGGCACTTTATAGTGGAGCTTTATAAGACAATTGACTGTATCCACATTTAACCTATTTTCTCTTATTCTTCTACTCCACACCTCATTCCATATCCGGCTGTGTAAACGTAAAGTATTTCTTAAAACACCAATTTATTTTCAAATGTTTTGCGAGTTGTGAGAAGAGCTGAAGAGGGAAATAATCTGCTGCACTCACTTGACAGGTCCAGCCAGTGGGTGTGTATTTATTTAGCCTCGGTCTCCGGCATCTTATTCCTGCCAACTGCTTCTGCTTCCTGGTCCTTAAATGTAACCATAAACGTTGTATTAGTGCAGACTTGCCTCTTTACTCTGCTGTAGAATATGTTTAGAGTTTCAGGGTGTTTACACCTTTTAATGCAATAAATACAATGAACAACTAGTTTGAAGTGATTAATAATAA